TCTATTTTCAAGCAATCTTAATTTCTCATATGTAAAAAGACTGAATAGGGTAAAGGAAGAAAAGAATGGAAGGACTCTATGGATAGGTTGGATTTAGTTTTAAAATGGGTTACTGGTGGATTTTCTATCTTGGATGGATTGAGTAGTTAAATTTGGTTTTAACTAAAACTCTACCAAAAAAATATATATAGAAAAAGCTAAATAAGAGGGTATTTTTGTAATCAAACCACTTATTTTTAGAAAGTATGTAATGGTTATTATTTTTAGTACAACAAACCAAACAATCAATAAGAAATAATGTCAGGATAACTAATCTAGTATAACTAATCTCAGCATAACTTGTATTCAAACTAAACGACCGCTAAGAGATTTTTACCTATTTGTTGACATGGCAGCATGTGTGTAATACACCATGACAAAAGCGTGAAAGACATCATTTAGCAAAAAGAAATTTTTTTTATCTTTTTTTAAAAAATAATAAATTATCATCACTTCTTCTTCTTTGATTCAGCTACCGTTGCCACCACCTTCCCACCACCACAATCACCGGCGTCACCACCATTAAAGTTCATTCCCCTTCTTTCTCGAGCTACTATCATTCTTCTTTTACACGCCACCTTTTTTTTAATTAGACTTGTCGTTACCATATCCACACTTCTCCTTTCCGTTCCTTCTCTGATCATCTTCTTCCCTTTTTTTTCAGGCCACCATCTTCTTCCCCTTTTTCACCAGCCATCGACCCACCTTCCACCATGGACACCACCTCATTTTTTTTTCAAATCTATCGTCGTCAATATCTTTCTTTCTCCTTGGCCTTTCAAACAATCAATCACAAATTTTAGTTGGTTCATCGAAAAACATTGTCACCACACATCTCTTTCTTTCTGTCAAATCAACTCAAACATGAATCAAATCTAAACTTAATAACAAAAATAAATTTAAAAATAAAGTAGAAAAACTTGGGAGATTTAAGTTTTTTTTTTTTTTAAAGGGAAAGAAGATGAAGTGGGGGCAGGTTGGAGGTGGCAACCTAGTTTAAGATTTCAGTTTTTTTTTTTTAAAATTATAATTATTTTGTAGCCCAAAGTCATATGGCTTCTTTTAATTAGTTATTTTGCCATGTCATGGCAAGTTCATCACACACTTTTTACATTTTTTTTCTTCTGATTATCAAAATGTGTCTAATAGGAACAATTTTTATATAGGTAAAAGTGTTCAATAGGTAAAAAGGTTAAATTGGAGTGTCTAAGTGAAATATGCGGACAACTTTAAGGGGATATGAATGACTTAAGCCATTTATTTTTGTTATAATACATAAGTATCTCTCTTAATTTGGTTTTAGCTGATATCTATATTCTCCAACTTTAACTATGTACAAGTGGACACCTAAGTTTGTATAAAATTAAACAAATAAACGTATTCATTTCATATGGCGTCCTACATGAAAATTTTGTATCCTATGTAGTGTCTTATATGTATTATACCACATATGATGTGTGTGTTTACTTATTTAGTTTTATACAAGTTAAGTGTTTTACTGACATAGATGTCCGTTGAAGCTAAGTTAAAGAGCCATATTTATGTGTTCTACCTTTATTTTAAAAAAAGTGTTTTAGAGTTAAAATATCTTTTAAGCACTTTTAAAGTAAGGGTATGCATTCGTCGGTTCGGTTCCGATTTTATGTATTATCAATTCGATGTATCAATTTTTTATTTTTACATACGCTAAACCAATAACCAATCCAATAAGATTTTTTTATCGATTTTTGTCCTTAATGGTTCAATTTTTGGTTTAACCAATAAGAAAATGCTTATAAAATAAATATATGACTTCTCCAACAATTTAACTCGACAAGACACTAATGTAACTTTAAAATGCTCATAAAATAGAAACAATAATAACTAAAGAACTATACAAGTTACACAAAGAGAATTAAGAGAAATTGAATTTAGGTATTGATTCGATGTTTTGTATAATGTGAAGTTGTGAACTCAAAGTTATCGTGAAGTGTGAATTAAAGACTAAAGGTCAAAGATAGTAACTAGTAAGGTATTGAGAAAATATTTAATATTTATGTACGGATAAAGTAGTAAATTACTATACTCTTAATAGGTTATCGTTTTACCCAATAAACCAATCTTAAAAAATCAAAATCGAACCGATAACCCGATAAAATTTTCTTATAAAATCATTAAAAAATAGTTAACCCAATAGCAACAAACCACTAAAAAAATTTTGGTTCGGTTTATCGGTCGATTCGATTTTTGAGCCCCTTTATTTTAAAGTATTTGGATAAGATAATTTTTATTTTGCAAAACACTTATTTTAAATCAATATAACAAAAATAAATTAAGAGTCATCATTTAAGTCAGGGGTGTTCACGATTTGAGTAAAAATCGATCTATACTAAAAATTAATCAAATAACCATTTATTATTTAAGTTTAATTTAATTTGGCCTAAACTGATTATAAAGAAAGAATCAAGAAGTCGATAGAAATTTACATTTTATATATAAACAATTTTAAATATCTTATAATTATGTTTTTATCAAAATTTGTTGAAAAAACTATATAAATAAACAAACACCGCTAGTATAACCACTCAACCACATGCTAAAAAAAATAAATTCCTAGTGGATTGTTCATGTGATACACACTTCTTATTTTTAATTAGTCTAAAATTACTATGCCTTTGAGAAACAATTGTTTAGTTTAAGAATTTTTCTATAAGAGTCATTGGAATAATGACTCTCAACAGATCTTGAGAAGTGGTGGATTTAATTTCTGAAGTAAAAAAAATTCATATAGTTTTAATTTCAACTTGATTTCAAGTTCATCAATTGCTAAAGTCGATTTTAACAATAAGAGGATTAATTGAAAATATTTATGCGTATGTGTATCTATATATCTAATTTTTTTTCTTCTTCTAATTATGTCTCTATGCGTAGATACACTGAACAATGATTATTTTATAAATGTATTGATGCATATCAAATACATGTATTTGAAAGAACTATATGAAATTGATCTGAATATGTCTAAGTAATACTTGATATACTAGATGTAATTGCTAGTGAATACATCAAATGATACTTGATATATGGATGAAACTGATGTTGAATATATATACACTATATACATGATATACATATAAATTGTGAAAACACATGTAGAAAGATTAATCGTTAATAATGTCAATTAGAATTTTGTAGATGAAGTGAATCACACATATAATCACTTAATGGATACAAATAGATACATGAAATTGTGGAACATATATAAATTGTGAAAACACAGATAGAAATATTTATTAATAAGAATGTCAATTACGTGAAATTGTGGAGCATATATAAATTATGAAACATAGAAAGAAAGATTTATTATTAAGAATGTCAATTAGAAATTGCACATGAAGTGAATCACATATATAATCACTTTAATTTGATATTTTACAGTGACGAAAGTTTGATAGAAGAGAACTTAGATTTTTTGCTCATGAATATACATAATCTTTAAAATTGTTATAGGTGTAATTTTCTCCTTGTTTAATGTGTTTCAGTTACATAAGATCTTAATTACCTAAAATTAGATCATTTTTAATGTGCATGTATCTGAGATACACTGATCACCCGATGTAATTCTTGAAACTATCATTTCATTGAATAGTTAGCACATATAGTATTGTGTTTATGAAATTTTCTCAAATTTATTTACACTTTATTTTATGGGAAATAACACAAATCCCACTAGTTTAAGATCTAATTATGTGCCTTTTCTAAATTACCATTCATATAAGATTTCGATTCCTAAAAACATGTCCAGATTACATGGAGTCAAAACATGATTAACATGTATTTGGATACATTGACTCTCTCATTCACATCTCTCCTCTCTCCCTCCCTCTCTCGCTCACTTCTCTCTCGGTGTATATGTGCTTTAGAATATATTTGATAGCAAAATTACTTGTATTTAGGTGTATTTGACTTGAAATTTGGTATGAAATTATTAATTAGTGAGACAATTTGTAATCATTTCAAACTATAGGAAGAATTAGTAAATATGGTAGGAATATTTGTATAATTAGATAATTTTTCCTTTATTTAATAAGTGTAAACCAAAAAATCTAGCAAAAGGCCAATTCAGGTCCAAGTTCAAAACCAACAAAAATAAAAAAAAATGAAGAACTTACAAAAAATCTACTATTTTAGGATCTAATTACTTAGATACACTCTAGTTTGCAATAATATTGCGAATCTTGTCAGATTATGATGCGTCCAGATACATGTATCTCAGGATACATGGAGTCAAAATTAAGTGCAATATGTTCAGGATACACTATATCCAAGTGGATTTGCAAGTATTTGAGATACATAGACAAATTTTGCTCGCCTCCCTCCATTTCGCACGCCCCTCTCCTATGTATTTGGTATCCCAAATACATATGAATCACACTAGATACATATAGATACATGTATCTAATGTGTATCTAGTGTGATTCACATGTATTTGGAATGCATGACTATCTCACTTCTCATCTCGCTCGCCTCTCTCCCTCTCTCACTTACCTCTTTCCCTGTTTTACTGTATGTGTAGCAAAAATACATGTATTTAGATGTATCATTTTCATTCTTCGATATATGATATGAAACACTTAATTAGTGATAAAATGCACAACTATTTGATAGTATATAAATAGAATTAGTATATATATTCCCTAAAACAAAAGCAATAACAGTCAATTCCAATTTCTTGTTATTGGATAAAAATCGAACATCTTTAAGGTTTGCAGGGCCATAACAAATAATTGGTGTGTTATTTACTTAATTTGTTTTTTCTACTCTCTACCTTGTCTTTTTATCTTAGTGTATGATTAATAATCAAACAATCAAATTAAATCGAATCAAAACTATAACAGTCAAATTAATAAATGTATAATTTAAAAATTAATTAATTACTAATTTTGACCAATAACCACCAAACCGACCTGCTCTAAGTTATATGTGATCCAACCAGGGGCCTTACCAGAACACCCCAGCTATTAGCTAAATCCAATAGGTGTTGCGGATTTTCTAACTTCCAGGAGTAGACCCTCTACTTCCACGTATTCGCTACACAGACCGTCAGCAATTTCAACAAAATCAAAATTTACTTTCTTGGATTCTGCACCTTCTTCTCAATCCTAAGGTATCAAACTTTTCTTTTCCCATTTCAGTTCACTTCTTTACATGTTCTATTGCTCGCTATAACTGTCTAATTTGATCCTAAGAACTTTTTTCTGTATGTTGTATGAAAAAGATTCAATCTTTTGGAATTTGAAGCTAAAGGGGTTGTTCAGATTACCTCACTTCATTTCTTTCTGTATGTTGTATGAAAAAGATTCAATCTTTTGGAATTCAAAGCTAAAGGGGTTGTTCAGATTACCTCAGTTCATTTTGATAGCTAGTGTTTTGATTTGACTGCCCCATCTTACTTAAAATTTGTTCTTCAGTTTGGTGTAGCATGGTTAGGTACTTTGAGGGGAAGTGACAAAGATAGACAATGAGCAGGTCTAGAAGGTTCTTGAATGAAAGGGCTAGGGGAGATGGGATGAAACTTATTGATGAAAGAGGTGGAACAAGTGTTCTTGATCATGAAATTTCCCAACTTACAAAGATTAGGTCAAATCCCCATGAAAGAATGAGACACCTGCTTCCTGGCAAGGGAAAAGAACCAGTTTCATCTGTTAAAATGTTGGCTGCTAGAGAAGGGAATTATACAGGCAGAGGAAGATTTTCGTCATCTGATTGTTGTCATCTTCTGAGCCGGTATCTTCCAACAAATGGTCCTTCTGTAGTTGACCAAATGAGGAGCTGTGCTTATGTTTCACAGTTTTCGACGGATGGTTCTCTTTTTGTTGCTGGATTTCAGGTTTGATCCATGTAGCTGAATTTTCTATTTCCGGAAAACATAAGAGAGTTTTTATTATTTTTCATGACTATTGTCGTGTTATGATCTTATTGTTCTTCCTGGAAACAGGAAAGTCATATTAGGATATATAATGTTGATCATGGCTGGAAAATCCAGAAGGATATTAGAGCAAAAAGTTTGAGATGGACAATCACTGATACGTCGCTTTCTCCTGATCAACGTTTTCTTGTAAGTTCGTGATGACTAATACAACTTTGTGCATAATTAGTCCTTGTCCATGTGGTTATAAATGGGATTTGGTTGGTTCTTATGCTTCCAGGAATCAGCTAAAAGATACTAAGTATTTCTTGACTCTGTAGATGTGGTTTTCTTGCGTAACACCATTTATAGATATTGAAATGAACGCCTTCCCAATAAATCTGGCTACTTTATTTCTGTTTTGCTTTAACAGAGTCTGTGACATTGAGGATAAGCTTTGTTTTTCTTGTTACATCATGAAATATACTTTCAGTACATTATCGCGAGCTCCTAATATGTGATTCATCTATAAGTCTATAACTTATTGAATTTGGTTAACATAGCATCTAATACACCATGGTTTTCTGCTGTCATTTCTTCTGTCACTATTCTGAGTTGGTTTTTATGTGTTGATCCACAGGTTTATTCCAGTATTTCACCCATTGTCCATATTGTTGATGTTGGATCTGGCATGAAACAGTCTGTTGCAAATGTTACGGTATGTTTTACTTGTTATATGTCAAAACATGTAAAAGATAGAAGACTTATGATATGCATCTTTGCTGCACTATTCTATCACCTGTTGATATCATAGAAGTCATTAATGTGTACTCCTGTGAATTTCGTGATAAAAGGATGACTGTAGATTTCAAATACAGAGGAACTAACTTTTACCAGTATTCTGGTTTTCAAATGAAGAATCTGAAATTTTGTTATAATTTCTGATCACCTGCATGAACAGTGCAGACATCATTTGCGTCCCCTTTACTTTTAGGGTAATTAAGGTGATGATGCTAATTTAATGTATCCTGTGCATCTTGTTATATTAGTTGGTTCAGCAAGAAGTGATAGGTTGTGCCTCGTTATAGGGAAGTAATTGTGCCACTATAACTTCCATTGGGACAATTGGAGGTCTTATTTAAGGGAGTCATTGGGTATGAAATGGTGTATGCCATGATTGTCATAGTGAGCTTCTATAATCAATGCCCTCAAGTGTCAATGTAGGTTTTTGATAGCCGTATACGAAAGACTTTGTTTAGTAATAGAGGTGTTTTTAACTGTGATAGTATTAAATTTCAACTTTCTTTTGCATTCATAAGACCAACAAGTGAAAAAATACACTACAGTTTCATACTTCGGTTATGCATACTTTGAACCCTCTTACTTCACCCCTTCTGGATTTTGCATACACTAATGTATATCAATGATGTGGTGGAGGATAAACAACAGAAGATTCTTGCTTTTTGTTATGGTATCATGAATATTGGACCTCACTTGGCACTTCGATTCTTGTCACTATTTCTAAAAGAGGATTTATGCTGAAAGTGATCAATCAACCACATGATGAGAGTATCTAATACCTTGCAGTTCAGCAATACTCAGATCAATTTCTAGTTAATTTTCAACTAGTGCCTTAAAAGTAGTTGTTACTAGTTCTCCCGATCTGTGATCAAAAGCAAATTAGTTTGAAGCTCTAGTGTGTATCTGACTCTTCTTTAGATCTTCTAATGGGAAGCTATTGTGCAGAAGTCTGACCCCAGTACCCCTCCTTAGATCTCCTACGGATGGGTAGCTTCTTTACAAAAGGGTTTAGTAAATAGTAATTAGGTAGATGAGCTTTGGCTGCATTTTTCTGAAAGTTCAATTTAAGGAGGGCATCTGGTCCTTGATGATATGGCCACCCATCTTAACTTGGTTTAAGTCATTACAATGACAGCATAACTTTTAAGCATATAGTTCGTGAGTTTTGGTGTGTGTTAATTTTTCTGGTATTTCCTCTTTTTCTGCAGGAAATTCATGAAGGCTTGGAATTTTCTTCCCCTACCTATGATTATGACAATTATACATTTGGAATATTCTCTGTGAAGTTCTCTACTGATGGGCGAGAACTTGTTGCTGGCAGCAGCGACAGTTCAATATATGTTTATGATCTTGAAGCAAAAAGGCTAAGTCTCCAAATTCCGGCTCATACGGTATTGTGATATTCTTCTAGTAATAGCAGATATGGCTAACCAATCATTTTGGTATCATCTTCATAAGATGTTATTTTCCAAGTTTATCTTCTCATGAAATCTAAAAAGAATTTGGGTGTGCCCCTGAATTAGGTACCTTGAAATAATGTTACCGTCATCAGATGATTTAAATATTATAAGTGCTATATCTAATTTAGCATTTCTTATCTCTCTTCTTTTGGTGAGGGAAAGAGTTGAGCCTACAAAAGTTAATTACACTGAAGTGAGAGCTGGTTCTTAGAACCTGTGTATACATTGTTATGACATTTCCTTTTATGTTGCATTTCCCCTTAGCAAGTCACTTTTCTTTCTGTTCTTTTTGCTGATCTGGGAAGTTTTACCCTATCACTTTCCTGAAAGAGGACATTAGTATTTTAGCATGATCATAGAATTTCTGACTCGCAGATTTAGTGTTGATTTATGTTCTCAATATATGCATACAGTAAAATGCTTCTTTTAACGAAGAATTTCCTAGAATATCATAATAGAACTTATTTTGGTACCGCAGCATTTTACCTTGTTGTGCTATGTTCCTGAGTAACTTTTAAGTTATTTCCTCAAGAACTTCAATTCACAAGTTTGACCAAAATATCCATTAAACTTGGCCATCTGATGTCGAAAACTTGTGAAGTGGGTGTCTTATGCTTTATACTAAATGCATCACATGCTATAATAGACATCTTGTAGCTACTCTTTCAGGTTCTTAGATATTCCCCTACACAGATGTAAAAGCATACTGTAATTCGATTGCTATTTTTCATTGCAGTCTGATGTTAATGCTGTATGCTTTGCTGATGAAACTGGACACCTCATATATTCTGGAAGCGATGATAGCCTGTGTAAGGTAAGTTTATCCTACTTTTTGATGGACTTAATTCATTTCCTATGACCATTTTCTGGGCTACTTCTGCTGTTACTTAACCAACCCAAGACTGGTAAAATGTCTGTCTAGTGAAGCATATTTCATGATGCTGTTCTCTGTTAAAATTCAGATAGATTGGTCATATGGAACCCTTTTGTCATTTATAGTTCTGTTTACCGATGGTGTTTGTACCATAACTAAAATCAGCTTCTTACCCCTTAATGATTCTTGTAAGTTGTTAAAAAATGCTTCTTTTTAACTAGCATTGGAGGATTCATTAGGATTCTCATGGGCCGCCGAAATACTGATGGTGTCTCTTTTCTTAGAATTTGCAAGTATTTATCTGTTTGACTTAGAAAGGGCTCTTGATCATATTCAGGTTTGGGACAGGCGTTGTTTTGGTACTAGAGAGCAAGCAGCTGGGGTTCTTATTGGACATCTAGAAGGCATTACATATGTTGACACTCGAGGAGATGGCCGGTATCTTATCTCAAATGGGAAAGATCAGGCTATCAAACTCTGGGATATAAGGAAAATGTCTTCTAACATTAATTAGTATGTCTCACTTGATCCTTTTTTCTTTTCTTTATTTTGTGTTGTCCGTCACCCTTTCCTACTTTTTCCTCGATACATCTTCCTTTCCGCACCCGCACCCCATGGGCATACTTAGTCCTTGAAGTGATTTTCTTTTCCCTGTTCACTTGTGCTTCAGTACATGACCAATCAGTGCATTTGAATCATGAGGGCCTACATTGCCTGAGTAATTTGCTCTACCCTTCATTACATAGAAATATTTGAGTGTGTTGTGCAGAGAGTAGGCTTATTGGTTTAACCTGTTTGGAATTGTTCTATAATGGTTGCCACTTGAGTCCAAAGAAGATCTCATTCACACTGCTAATAAGACTACTTTCTTTTGTATAGCTCCCCAAGGCCTAGAAGTTATGACTGGGATTACAGATGGATGGACTACCCAGAGCATGTTAGAAACAAGAGAAATCCACATGACCTGTCATTGGCTACTTATAAAGGCCACTCAGTCTTGCGCACTCTTATCCGCTGTTATTTCTCTCCTGCACATAGGTTGGTGGTTCATGCCTTAATACGTGTTGAGTTTTCTTTGCTAAACATGTTTCTGATTAAAATATTTAGCCAGCTTTTCTTACTTCTATAAGTATAGTTTGTCAGCTTTGGAATTTTTAGTGCCTCTGCATATCATAATTGTTTCTTTGCAGCTGCTCAAGAATTCCAGACTTTTGAATGTTCCAAGTTAATTGGCATCAGTTTTATTGCTTGTATTATGGAACCAATTGATTTTTATATTGGATTACAAATAGAGTGAAATCGTGGAATTGATTTTCTTAACTTCATGGATTTTTCGTGAGATATCCTCACCTAAGGGACAAGACCAATGTCCAATATTTGTTTGGTATAATCAACAGTTAAATCAAGGAATTACTTCAGCTTTAAGTGTTTGGTTAGAAGGAAAATATTTTCCACAGAAAATGTTCTCCTAGAAAACAAGTGTTCCTTATTTTCTAGTTTTGGTAAGTACACATTTTTTTTTTATTTCAAGAGCATTTATATGTAATCTAGTAAAACAATATGAGGGTGGGATGAGTGAGGGTTCGGGGGTGGGATGGTCAAGGGGTGGAGGTTGGAGGTGTTTGGTGGGGGGGAGGAGACAATTAACTTGGAATGTGACTTATGCAACTTGTTTTCCCTACTTCAATTATTGAGCTCATTTTCCTCATTTTTAAGGAACTTATTTTCGTAGAGAAAGTGTTCTCCAAAACATTTTGACCAACCAAAGACACTCATAATATTAACTAGTTTTATCATGATTCATGAATCTATTAACCTTCCGACTCATGTTTCTATAGTGTGTTGCGTTATGGTCCTTGATTCTGGTATTTGATGCCATCTGTAGAACAGTCGTCTAATCAGCAAAATTTATAATTTGCAGCACAGGGCAGAAGTTCATCTACACTGGATCAAGCGATTCTTCTGTCTATATCTATGATGTGGTATGCTTGGAGTTTTATACCCTTATTTGATTTGCTCTTTTTTCTTTTCAACATCCTACTTTATTGCTTCATAAATCAATATTAGGTTCATTAGCTAGTGAATCTTTTGTCGCAATCTGCTAAGTGCTTTATAGGACTTGGATACATGCATTCTGCTTGGAGTTTCTGCACCTTTGAGTGATTGGATCTGTTAATGCCAATTACTGATAGCTTGATAATCTGAGAGACTGGTGGAACTATGGTTTTGAACTCCCCTTTCTCTAACTTGATGATTAAGCAGTCAAAGATTAGCTTAAGAAAAATGTTATGTATCCAATTAGATGGTCAATTAGAGAAAAAGAAGTTTGAGCATGCCCTTTCATATTAGTCGCTTCCAAGTTCCAATGCTGGGCATGCTTCATGTAATATAATACGAAGGTCAAGCTGCACATCCCGTATATCTTTCTTTTTTTGATGATATGTGGTGTCTGGGGTAGCTTTTGCGCATATCACATTAAATTTGTTTTGGAAGCAAGGGACTTGATAAATCCTTGGATGCCAATTACTATCATGCATCTTGTTCATTCCTTTTGTAGGTGAGTGGAGCTCAGGTTGCAAAACTTGATTACCATCAGGAGCCGGTGAGAGACTGTAACTGGCACCCTTACTACCCTACGCTCGTTAGCTCTGGATGGGACGGTATCATTGCTAAGTGGGAGTTTTCTAGTACTGATACAAGCCCATTGCCAAAGAAGCCGCTATCCAGACTATGGAGGCGATCTTAGCATGCAGAAAGATGCTATTGGAGTACACACTGATTGAAAATTCCAAATCTCAAGTAGGTCTGTTCATGTTCTTTCTGCATATCGACATGTAGCCGTGTACTCTGGTTGTCCCTAACGGGATAGTCCAATGGCGCGATAGGTCAGAATGTCGCGAGTTCAAATCTTACTGGTTGCCTAGTTGAGCATTTGTCACTAACTATTATGTAAAAAGGGAGCTGTGATTCTATTATAAGTGAACGTTCATTGAGAATTTTATGAAAGATTAGTGTAAAAAGTTTCATTGAATGCATGTCTATATGTCATGTAGTGTACTACTTTTTATATTCATTCAATCAAACTATATTTCCTTGTCAAAATTAGTTGGGATTGACCTTCATTTATGTATTATTTATTTCAACAAATAATAATAAAAAAATAAGAAGAGGATTTTCAAAGTGGATCTAAAAACATATTTCTATGTGACATCAGTACTAAGTACGTTGTGGTTCAGGGATTTAGCAAGTCTACTGGTAGAACTTAATCGTTTTAATTATTTATATCACATGTTTGTTTGAAAAGTCACTTGATAATTGAAATTAGTGTAATTACACAATGTAGTGATTACATAGTATAGTAATTATGATGACCTATTTGTTTGACTAAATGTGATTAAAAGTGTACTTACACAAGTGTAATAGTTAGATAAAGTTTTAAATTAAAATTTAATCATCAAAAATATCAAAATAAAAGTTAATCACCAAAAATATCAAAACTAAAAATTGATATTTGCAAATATGTGCCTTTATAAATAATATTAAATTAGATATTTAAAATATATATTGTCTCTTAAAAATATATTAGTTAATAAACATATAACTTTTAACTAATATTATTTTAAAAAATAGTACATACATATATAAATTAATAATATTTTAATTTAATTAATCACAAAATAAAAGAAATTTTTGTAAAGAACATCATAGGATGCATGTTTAACAAAAACAATTTGTAATATTATAAATATAGTGTTACAAAATTATTCAAATATTTGACAAAAAAATAATTTATCAATTATAATTAAATAAAGTCAGTGTGTTTGAAGAAAGGAGAGATGGTTGACATCTCCCCCAATAGGGACGGGAACAACCTTCGAGCTTTATATGTTATCAGACACAATCAAAGAGTCAATACTACTAAAACAGATAAATTGAAATAAAAAATATAACATAAATTTAAAATTTTTAAAAAAGAAATAAAAAGTCAATACTATTAAAGCAAATAAATTGAAATCGAAAATATAGTATGAATTTAAAATTCAAAATAAATAAACAACATAATACTCTTATGTCAAATTTTCTAACACAAAATTAGAATATTACTTAAGCATATATAATTTAAAAGAAAAGAAATACATTAAATCTATAACATCTTCCAACAATGAGATTCTACTTTAATCATACACTAGAATAAATAAATTTAAAAAAAACGATTAATTACATGAGATTCAAGAAGCAAATGATTGGAAAATTAGAAGAAAGCAAATGAAAGATAAATAATGAAAAATGAAAAAAATATATTTTAAAAAAAAATATTAAAACAATAGAAATAAAAAAACAAAATTGAAAAAGAAAGTAAAGACAAAATTGAAAAAGAAACTAAAGTAACTTTATAATAATCCACAATTCTCACTTCCAATCCCACTGTCTGTCCACTTGGAGATGGTAATTATCTTCTCCTAATTATATCTGATTCTTTGTTATTAAGAGGAGTTGTTCGGATAATAAATACTTTTTACTTTTAATTCTAAAGTTATGAGTTCGAGTCTCCAAAGAAGTAAAGGTGAAACTCCGGGGGGAGGGAGAAGATAATTACACTCGAAGTCAATTTTCATATGCATTTCCAAGAGTTTATTTGTTTTAAGATTTAAATCTTAATCACTCACTTAATATATGATTAAATCTGAATATTAAGATCTATAACAAAATTTTAATATCATTAAAATATCCATTCAAAAGTTTTACAAAAATGCAGTTCTCCAACGTCATCCATTCATAACCCATCATCATTATTGTTGTCACCCATCATTATCAACTGCTATCATAATCACCCACAATAATCACCATTACAAATCACTATAATCCATCATCATTTACACTAGCCATTATTTACATAACTACTAGAGTATTAATTACCACCATAACAATAATCACAAATCATTCTTGAATCACTATCACTAGTCGCTAATATATATCATCAACCATCATCAATCACCATCATTCATTACTATTACTATCATCCACGCCATCAATTCACTAGCCAACATTACTGTCAACCATCATTATCACTAACTATTACTAACAATATCATTATTTCAATTTTCAATCATCATCTCTAGTTATCACTTTCATCAATACACCAGATAATTTCTTAAGAATATTTTATCAATATAATATTAAATTAATTATTTTATATTTAATAAAGATAGATTTATATATTCAAATGTCGAAAAAATAAATTATTTCACTCATTTAATATTTAAATTTCAATACTAATATGTCAACATTCAAATTGGTTTGAGATTCAAACATTTATATCGATACAATTTTTCGATTCTTCTATCGGTTTTAATTAATTTATTTATTAAAAATTTTAATTTTTCGATATAGTGTTTAGCCTGTAAGTGTCTCGGTTCTTCTGTGTACTGAAAAAACTGAATTTTTATTAATTATTTTTTAAAATCTGAATTGTATTTAACTTTGGCTCAAAATTTTTTGGTCCATTTTTATAAATCTCTTTACTCTTTAATTATCATATATTAATTCATATTTTTTAAAGAAATCGAAATTGCATCTAACATGAGAATGGTAACATCTAATTAATGTATGTAAGTACTTTTTTGGTTAATGAACCTTTCTCTGAGAATCGAATTTGCATCCAATTAATGTATGTTTGGTCTATAAAAATGTACATTTCTAGGAAAAATATTTAATTTTTAAAAATATATATATATTTTTTAAAAATTAAATAGTTTGGTCTAAAAGTATAAAATTTTGATCTTATACTTTAATGATTTGGTGCTTATTTTATTTATTTTTTACACTGAAAAAATTATTTTAAAAACATCAAATTTAAAAAACAAATCAAATTAATTTGATTTGATGTTGGATACACATTTTTTCAAAATGAAAAACCAAAAAATCAAATAAAAATGAGATAAGTGTCAAAACACACTTAAACTGTTCACCTTTTTTGGGTTTCATACCTAAACAATTGAGAGTGTGTTTCATACGTAAACTATCATTTTATTAGTTTGAAAAACATACATCAGTGATGTGTGTCATTAGAGCTGTCAATATGGGCTGGCCCACCCTGGCCATTCGGGCTAACCCATACAGGCTTTGAAGTTTGACGGGTCAGGCCGGGCTAGCCCATTTTTGGTGTGGGCCAAAAAATGGTCAGCCCAACCCACAAATACGTGGGCTACGGGCTTGCCGGGCCAGCCCGCTTTTCGTAAAAATATATTTTTAAAATCTTTTAAAATTAAATTATAATTTAAAAATATTATCATAAATATCGACAATATAATATTACATGATGTTAGTGTTACTACTTGTTAATCAAATCCACAAATAAAATTATTTTTATAATATTTATTAAGTTTGATTTCAAGTAAAAACATAAATAGCTAAATAAAAAATATAAACATAATTGTTTTCCAATGATCATAATAAAACACAAAACTATGACAATATTCCATAGGCTACGGCCTATGTAGTGATTCCTAGAAATTTTAGGGAATTTTTCTTTTACATAATACATATTTAATAAACATAATTTGTATTTAAATTGTAATATTTCAAACTTTAAACTGATTTTGAGTTAAGACTCTTGTTATTTTTAATACTCTATTTTATTTTTTAATTAATTTTTATTTGGCCCACAGGCCGGCCCTATCCATATTTCTCAAGCCCCACAAATCGGCAAACTTATTCAGGCCGGGCTAAAAAACTCTTTTCTTAAATGGGCTCCAAAAATCATAGCCCAATCCTATCAAATCTCGGGTTAGGCCAGGCCGGCCCAATGGGCCTAGCCTATATTGACGACTTTGTGTGTCATACACTCTTTTTTATTTGCAATAACCTTGCAACATGAATAAAATATTCCACATTAACAAAAATTAAATAAACTATTAATATTAGTTGAAAACTAAAAATTAAAGTGTCACTATCCAACAACAACAAAAAAATCTCACCCCATTCCACCATCTCCTCCCCCTCCCCCCCTCCCCCCACGACAATCCCCCGTCCTTTTATTTTAAAAAAATTTAGACCTCACCCCCTCCCCCCCTCCCCCCATGACAATCCCCCGTCCTTTTATTTTAAAAAAATTTAGACCTCACCCCCTCCCCCACTCCTTCCTAAAAAAAATAATTCTACCCCACCCCGTCTAACCCTCCACTCCTAATTTATTTTTATTTTTTTCTTACATTTTTCTCATTTTGTGTTGGATGTGTAGAGATAATATCTCAGATGGTCACTCAACTATGAATTATTTTCTCAGAAAGTCACTCAATTTGTAGGCTATTACACAGTGGAGAGTTTAACCAGTGCACACAAAGTGCTCATCCGAAGGGCAAAGACTGTGACAAAGATTATAGCGGTTACGGGTTATTATGGAATTAAAAAAAAAGAAGATAAGGAAACGATCGACTCTGTTGTGATCTTTAAGCTAATCTGCTTCTGAAATCATATGATAATCCAATTAACTAAAACTTGTTTCCAATTTGAGTGGTGAATAGTTTGGCAGTAAAATATCTTTTTATTTCTTAAATTTTGGTTAGAAGTAAAAAATTTATGTTAGTAAATTTTAATGAAAAATCAATTGAATTTGTTGATTGACTTTGTAAATAAAATATTCATAGTTGAGTGACTTTGTAAGTAAAACTAAGTTTAGTGACTTTCTGAGAAAATAACTCAATTGAGTGACTTTCTGAGGAAAAAAACTCATAGTTGAGTGATTTTTCAATTAAAAACCAAAGTTGAGTGATTTTCTGAGTAAAAAGTTCATAGTTGAGTGACCATTTGAGATATTATCTCTATATGCGTACATATATTTTTAGGAAAATATTTTTTTCTACTTGCGTACCGAATATAACAGAAATAAAAAATTTTATTCTAATTTTTTTTTTGCGGCAAGTAAAAAAAATATAT